AATTGTTACAATGGTTTCATAGTCATGTTTCACATGTTTCATGATCTTGTTGCATAATATTAACTAACCTTGTTTCACTAAGTGAGTGGCACATGTTGCACTTAAGTGTTGCACACTTTACATTTCATAAAAGAAACAACACACATGAAATATACAGCATGTTGCAATGTTTCGAAATCATGTTTCATGTGATATAAGTTCACGAATGGATGCATGATGCTCATGTTCATGAAATGCAGTGCAAATGTGGAAGCCAAACACCTAGGGTGTTACACGGGTCATTTGCCCATCTGCCGCAGCCCGTACTTGGGGCCCTGGCCAATTTTAGTAGGAGTTTTATTAGAATTTTATTTGCATCTAATAAATTGCCACATAAACGTTTTTTAGAGGAATTTGCATTCTATTAATCAACCACACTAGCAGAATCGCTGGACACAAAGTGCAAAATACAGTCAGGTACTCCGGCCATCACAGAGGGCATACCGTCAATGCACATACTTCCTATCGAAGCAAGTTCATGCGCTACTCGATTAATACAACAATGTGTTATTAAAAAGAGAAAAGAAGAGAAGAATTGAGTTTCTTTAGGCTTTTGGCGTGACTGTCTCTAAAATTAAACGGTAATGCTAAGGTCAAGGTGTTCGGATGGACGGACGGACGTGGCATCCCAGAAACTTCCCCATTCACTACCGCGTCGTCCGCTCGCTCCACCGCGCTACCCGCCTCCACCACGTTGCCCGCTTGTCGTGGCCGCTCCACCGAGCCAGTGAGCCTCCACGACGGATACTATAGCAAGCAAGCTAGGGGAGGATCTTCAAGTGACGCCACCCCGCCGGCGAGTTGCTCACGTGGCTGCTGCACCGGCAATCGAGCTCCAATGTCGAGCTCCGCAATGACGAGCCTCCATTCGTCTAAACTGCAAAGAGACATTGCGTTAAAAGTGCATGTTGCAAGCGTATGTTTCAAATATTTTAGAGGTATGTTGCAAATATTTTATATCGATGTTGCACATATTGCAATGATTATACACGTATGTTTCAAGTGTATGTTCCAAATGTTTCATCTGTTTCAAACGTATGATGTAAGTGTTTCATCTAGATGTTACAAATGTAGATCTAGATGTTGCATATACATGTAAGTTGCAAATGTTTGATATGGCGTTGCATTTGTTTTTGCAATGGCTACACATGTGTTTTCAAGTTTTTTCTAGGTGTTGTGCAAGTGCTTCAGACGGATGTTGCAAGTGTTTTATCTAGATGTTGCAAAAGTAGATCCGGTGTTGCACATGTTGCAACGGAACCCACCTGTCGTAGCCGCCTGCTGCAGCTGCTGTGGCGCCGCCGTGGGTCATCGTGCAGGCGCTAAGGCCGGCACACGCATCTGCAGCGCAACATCCACAGGTGGGGGTAGGTGACTGGGATCCACGCTGCGTGCGGGCACGATGGCCAAGCGAAATAGAGCGAGCGTGATGGTAGGGCGGTACATAGCGTGGGGTCCACGCGGTGGGGCGTGTGAAAACAGACGGCACAGGCTCCTTTCGCTTACGCTGCGGTCTCCCGCGCGAAGGACCGGAGGTGTCTGATACTTTGGAGCAGCTCTGAACATCCTGACGCTAATAATACCGAAAATTAGTGTCTATAAAACTACGAAAATACTATTTTCCAAGCGTGCAGGAAGTCACCGTTCGGCGCACGCACACTGCCTGTCATCCGATGTAGGCATGCGCACACTGCCTGCCATCTGATGCGCACTCTGATGGCCTGCCCGCGCATGCCGGAGGCCACGCCCAGTACCTGTGCCCGCGCCGTCGGAGGCCACGCCCATGCCCGTCGCTGCTTCAGCCTCACCCGCGCTCGTCGTCGTCGTCCATCACCCGTCATCGTCCATCAGTGCGCCGAAGATGAAGATGCCACCGCCTAGGGTTTCGGCGAGGAGGAGGTCATCGAAGACGGATAAGAAGCTAACTCTGGTGGGCTATAGAATGGCTGGCCGGGGGAGGAAGGTAGGCCAGACGGTGGAGATGGTCGACGGGCGGTTTAGGGGAGCTGGCGGCGGCGGCGCCATGGCCGAAGTTCGCCAGAGTTCGTCATTGCCGCATGCGGGGGGGGGGGGGGGAGGGAGGAAGGTGGTCGCCGCCGATGGTAGGGTTTCATTGAGCTCCATGGCCCGCAGGCCCCTACGCCCGTGGCGGGGCGGTGTCGTGGGGCGGGCAGGTGGGAAGGCAGGGCACTCACTGGAGCCGGCCGTGGCAAGGAGGGAGCGGGGAAGGCGACACCGGAGGCGTTGAAGACGATGCCGGTGTCGGGAGAGACGCGGGGTTGGGCGAGACACGGGGACCAGATAAGGGAGAGAGAAAAGAGTGCGGGTGCACTTGCTTCTGCGTGCGTGGGCAGCGGCTAGCAGTGTCCATAAAACTATAGCATAAACTTTCTACAGCAGTCCCATCCCATGTAAGCATGTACCGCAAGTCAAAACGGCTACTACAGTACATCCCTAACAGGGTAGCACTGAAAACGTGCTGATACTCCAAAATCAGTCCGTAGTTATATATATTTATTTATTAAAGTGAAAATGGCGCGGGATGTCTTGGGCACGTGTTTATGAACGCGCATGCGGCGGACGCGTGTGCATCAGGCGATCTACCTGCTCTCGACACGTCGAGACCGTATCGGATGACGTTGCAGGCAATCCCAACAAAGCACGAGGCGACTTGCCAAGACTTGGACCGCTTCTCGTAGCCTCCTTCCTCATCTTTGCATTGTCCCGGCCAGCGACGGCACGGGTGGCGCTCGTGCCAACCAGACGACGCGTATCCACACACACACTGATGACCCTTGTGGTCAAACGTGATTTCTGAAACGTTCAAAACTGGAACCGAAAATGACTCGACCTCGTACGAAATGAGACTTTGCAGTATGGAGTCACCGTGGTCTTATGTCTTAACGCGAAAAAACTGGGAGTAGTAGGTGCCTAGTAGTACGGGAACAAAATTTTACAGTGTCGTTAGGAAACATCGTCAAAGCTCACTGTATGCTCAAAACTCAATGTCATTTCTTTTCAAATCTCGGTCCAAGGTTTCCTTGCCGGAAACATATATAATACAGACCCTCTTTCTTCTTATTTTTCCCAACATCCTTTCCAGCTTTAGATGGGTTGATTAGATGCGCGCGCATCTTTCCGCGCGCGATTGGATCCAGGGGCCGTCCTGCCTAAACCGAGGCCCTGTATACAAAGTCTAAAATGAGGCCTCATAGACTAGCAAATAAGACAATAAATATATATAAACTATCATAAGGGTAAACTCTATTTTTGGGCTTTTAACTAGTTTGATTTTCAACAATAAACTAAAAAAACTAGACATTGGACACTCCCTAACTATTGATTTTGGACAAAACACAACCCCTGAGGGACTCCACTCATATTTTGTCGCTTGCGTAGAGCAATTGTGACACGTCAGCTAATGGTTTCAAAATTGAAGGTTAAAAGTTGAAATTTCATAATCATTAGAGGTTGAAATCTATGCTTCACCTTAATCGAATATTAGAATCGTGTTACATCTATTTTGTCGAATGCAATTTTTAAAGTCCATTTAGATTCATCGTAGGTAGTGGAAGTTTTATTACTTTTGATAATGAATATCCAAAATCATACATAAACCAACAACAATCTGCCAATGACGCATATGAAAAAATACTTATGATTGTAGTTTATATAGAATAGATTCTATATTGTCGATCAAAGTAGCATTAGATTCATATTGATATAAATAAAAATCATTAGTAATTCTAAATGTAAGTCTAATAACATCAGTTTTGTATTCACCAAAATCGTATGTTCATGAAGAAATTATTTTTTACGATTTTAGACATTCATTGTCAAAAGTAAAAAAAAAAAGTTTGCTTAGACCAAATCTAAATGGACGTAAAGAAATGATACAAAAAAAAGTTTTCAGATGTAACATAATTCTATTTTCAACCTCCGGCTGTCATGAACAGTTAGGTTTTAGCCTTCAATTTTGAAAGCATTAGCCAACGTGTCAAAACCAATACCACGTGGGATGAAAACCAAGGTGAAATTGTTGTGGGGCTATGTCTCATCCACTTTTCGATAGTTAGAGAGTGCTTAGTATTTGGTTTTGTAGTAAATGGATGAAAATCGGATTGTCAGTGGTTGAAAAATTGACTTCACTAATATCCGATATCCTAATTAATTAATTGCCTAAAAGTGTCCAATCCGCAGACACCACACTATGAGACCATGGAACAGGGGCTCTACGTCTACTACAGCTCCCCTAGTTTCAGAAATGTCATGCTCCAAATATCAGATGCAACTAGAACAAGTCGCACTTGCACCAGACACGGAAAGGAGACTTGTGATATATATAGCTCCCCTGGGCTCTGGTTCAGAAGGTGGACTTGTGGCCTCTCGCAGGTCAAAACGCAAGCTGTACTCAGAACAAAGCAGAATTCCATCTCCAAGACGCAAACATCAGCCGAAGAGAACGAAAAAAAGGTCAGAAACACGCATCCGGGCGCCGGTTTCGTCGCCTGTCCTTTCTCCTGCAGATTTCCATTATTCTATAGTACTGGAAATTGACCTTCTTCCGAGATTTCGCCCTTTTAACTTTTTAGCTTTTGACAAGATTTGACATTTGTTCACCTTTGCCTTTTAGGACTGCTGTATGTAATTTCATCTTTATTTATGCACAAAACTCAGATGTAATGTAACAATCCAAGCATCCAGCTCAAAGGTTTGTAGTAGAAAACACGTACAGGAGAATGAAAGCACGAATTCTTGTGCCAGTTAACACCACGATCTTCCCTCAAAAAAAGTTAACACCACGATCCTCGTATTCATAACAAATTCTTTTATTCAAAAAGGATCCTGCAGTCAGCGCTACATTTCTCTGAGAAACTGCAGGTTCAGGTTACAGACACAGGCCTTGCAGCCTGTAGCTTAGAATGGTACATACAGTAGTGTGCACGCAGAGCGTGTGCACCTCAGGTCAAAAGACGATGGTGAAGAAACGTACAAAAGAATGGTACCCGATCAGAGAACGCAACCTAAAACATGTTTGTTTACAACAAAGCAACGAACCAACAAAACTGTTAACCCTCCCTCGAGCTGAAAGAACGGCGCAACGCGGACGCAGCACCTTGAAAACGGCGCTGCGGCTGCGGCGAGGTGTCAATGAATTCGCAGCAGATCACTTGGCCTTGTGCTTGGGGAGCGTGAGCGCCACGGCGGGCGTGTGGAAGCCCATGAATTGCTGCTTGGGAGACGAGCGCCTGGCGCCCGTGGGGGTGGGGCAGCCCATGTAGTGCAGGCTGGGCGACAGCCTGATCTTGGGGCTGGGGCGCGGCGATGGGATGGGCAGCCTCGGCGACGGCGCCACCGCCGCAACCCTCGGCGACAGGTTCACCTGCTCCAGGGCCATGCTCTGCACGTCGGCCGGGTAGTTCTGGAGGCAGCCGATGCGCGCGCCCGTCGGCGTCGACCACTTGAACGACGGCCGGCGGCTGCCCATCATCATCTTCGGCGGCTCCACGTCCGCGACGGCGTCCGTGGCCGTGGCCGTGGCCGTGTCCTCCTTCACGATGTCCACCGCGGGCAGCTCCACCACTGCTTGTTGGTCCTCCACGGCCTCAGCGTCTGCAGCAGCTTCTTCGGTGACCACTGGGGCGGCCGCCTGCTGCTCTTCTGGAGCCGCCTCCTGCTTCTTGAACGACGGGTACTCGTCGTCGTCCACCGAGCATCGCTGATGATAAACATTTTGTCAGCCAACAAGCCCTCCTTGGCAATCAATGAGACCAGACTGATGACAGATTCATTGCGTACCTTGACATTTGCGAGGTCGACGTTGTTGTCCTCCAGGAAGGTGATGAACTCCCTGAAGTTCTCCTCGGTCGGGAGGTAGTGGCCGCTGTAGGGCCATATCGCCTCGAGGACGCCCTCCTTGGCGACCAGCCTGCCGGCGGCCGAGGTGGCGGCCCCGGACAGGAAGCTCGAGTGCTGGAACTTGCCCTTGCGCTTCTGCCCGACGTACAGCGACCTGCTGGTGCTGAGCACGAAGATCCACTTGGACTCCTCGTTCGTGTTCACCAGGTCTCCGCTCTGCTTGTACAGCAGCCGGCCTTCCTCCACGACGACTTCGTACGCCGCCCTCTCGTTCTGCTCGAGATTGAAGCAACATACAGTCAGATACATCCTCAGATTGGATGAGAAGGCTGGATGGATGGGTGTTTAGGAGGGGCACCGGGCACGTACTGGTCCGAGGTACATGATGAGCTGCGAGTTGAGCTTGCTTCGTGGACACTTCTGGTGATGCAGGTCTCTGCCGTTGCCAACATCCAGCCAGTAGAAGAAGGGCTCGCAGCTGGAGCTGGCGGACCAGATGTCGTAGTAGAGGTGCAGGTTGTGGCCGTAGCGGTGGCGCGGGTCAATCTGAAGAAACAGAGGATGAGATGATGAGAACAAACAAACAAACAGATGATTTGGGGTTAATAATCCAAGAAAGAAGAAGGAGATCAAAAGTGCTTACAGCTTCGAGCCAGTGCTGGAGCGCGAGCTGCTGCGCCTTGTCGTCCTTGGAGAGTCCCTTGCCGACCTTGGCGATCCTCTTGCCGGCCCTGGACCACCGCGACGCGGCGGTCTCCTGCTTGTCCTCGTCGAAGAAGGAGATGGACTCGATGTTGAGGTACACCGAGTCGACCGTCTTCCACCACAGCTCCTCGGCGATGATGGCGCCGTCGGCGAGGTTGCGGCGCGTGCGGAGGCCCTTGTAGATCTTCTGCAGCTTGGTGGCCGCCTGGTCCAGCTCCACGCGAGGGCGAGGGGAGATGTACTCGATCATGGCCTGCGCCTGCGGGGACACGGACACCACGCGCCGGGGGCTCTGCTGCTGCTGCAGGGCCAGGGTGCCCGGGCGCGCGCCGTTGATGCCGCCGCCCCGGCTGGCCGCCGCGGCCGCGGCCGCCGCATCCGCCTCCCAGTTCTTGAAGCTGAGCGAGCGCTCCAGGCCGCCGTGCGCCATCTTGGCGGCCTTCGGCTTGGGGCTGCTGCAGGACACCCTGGGTGACCTCAGCAGCGACAAGGCGGCATCCCGCGGGCTCTGCGGCTTTGGTGACAGGAGGTGGTTGCGCTCTGTGTTGAGCAGCCTCAGAGTCATCTCCCGCCGGCTCCCTCGCTGTGCCTGCTGCAGAGACGGTTCCGCCGTCGCCGGAGGAGAGCTGGAGACGGCGCTGCGGTTGCGATGACGATGAGGAGAAACTTAACTAAAGCTGCGTGCGCCGTGCGGTTGCTCTGGCCGCCTCTGGGGGTTCAGCTCGCTGTTGTTGGTTGATCCGTGCGGACGGGGGCGCCTATATATACAAGACATGAGCTGGCTAGGCGCTTATACGGCGGGGCGGAGCGGAGCGGAGCAGAGGTGCACGAGTCCAAGTTGTGCGTTGCGGATGCGGAGGGGGCGGAAGACGACGACGGAGACCGAGCGACCGGTCGTTGCCGCGCGAGCGGGGGGAAGGGAAGGGAAGGGAAGGGAAGGGAAGACGAGTCGACGAAGGCTCCGCGTCCCTGCCTGCCTCGTCTCGCACGTCAGCCCGCCCGTCTTCCCCTTCCCCTTCCCCTTCCCCTGGGGTCATCAGTCATCACTCCGCGGCGCGCAGCAGTTTTGGGCCACCCTTGTTTTGGCTGCAAGTAGAAGTCAGTAGGTGCGCCTTCTTCTCCCAGCAAATATCCGTACTGGACGACAAGGATGCTCGGCTTCCATTGGCTGGCCTGGCCTGCTCTTGTATGGTTGAAGAGATCAGCCACAGAAACACGGTGTAGTGTGGTCATCGTCCTCATGCGTCGACAAGTACACACACGGTGTCGTCGTTTACCGCTGCCCAGCTAGCTGGGGCCCCCAGTAAAGTCATTTTTTTGGTTTCACCCGCTGCTCTGCTGGACCCGGAGTTACCCACCGTAGTGTCTGTCTGTGACGTCATATAACTGGGGACAACCGCGGAAGACACAACAACCTCGGCATATTAGAGCGCAATCTCTTAGGCTCAACAACAACTGCCTATAAGACGCTAATTTGAATTTTTTGAAAGCCTTGGGTTCCATAAAAATGTAAATTTTTTTTGCTTAGGGCAGCAACAATGCAAGCATACACTATTGTTGGCTTTGACAAAAAGTTGGAAAACACATACACCCTGTTTGGCAGAGCTTCACTTCACTAGTGAAGCCATTTTTTTTTTTAGCTTCAGCTCCACAAACAGCTCCACCAGTGGAGCTGAAGCAGTTTTGGTAACCATTTGGCAAAATAGCTTCCCTGTAAGAGTATGTTTTTAGGGGGCTGGAGAAGGAGTCGGAAGAAGCCACTATTTTTGGCTCATTCCCACCCCCAAAGCTCTGTGAGAGCACGTTTTTAGGGGCTTCATCGGTGGAGCCGTTTTATTTTACCCCGTTTGGCAGAAAACGGCTCCAAACGGCTCCTGAAGCCGCTAGAGAAGCCCTGCCAAACATGGCCATAGACATGAAAAGCTAGAGCTACTAAGGGCGTGTTTAGTTGGCGAAAATTTTTGGTTTTGACTACTGTAGTACTTTCGTTTGTATTTGGCAATTAGTGTCTAATTATGGACTAATTAGGTTCGAAAGTTTCGTCTCGCGATTTCTCACCCAACTGTGTAATTAGTTTTTTCGTCTACATTTAGTATTTAATGCATATGCCGCAAGATTCGATGTGACACTTGATGGTGAATTTTTTTTTAAACTAAACAGGGCCTAACCTACCCAACGCTAGCCAGCCCTTCTCCCTGCATTTATCAGAGCTAAAGCAATGATGACAGCAAGCACATGCACTCTTTTGAGGCCTCTCCCATCGCGAGTTTTGTTGCCTTTTGTCAGTTGGGGCAGCTGCTGCTTCTGCACGCTACTCTGCTGCTCTGCGAAACCACCAATACTTGAGAGGCTTTGAGTCTACGTGGAAGGTTGGGGCTACTAGCCACGCTGGTGCGTGTTCTTAATTGATAATACAGGATAAGATCACAGAGACAGACTCCAATAGCTCCTTTTGCCATGACAATAACGAGACCGCACACCACTTGATGGCTGAGTGCTGCTATGCTCAACGAGTTTTGGGAGAATATCGCTAGCTATTTGTGGGTCGTCTACTATCCGCAACTCATTCCTCATCGCTAGACCCATACTGAGATAGTTCATCACTAGTGGACGACCCTCATTCTTCTCATGACCTGGGAGATCTAGGAGTCAAACCAACAAATATTCCAACACAAAGAAGCATCAACAACTTCAATTATTACAAAAATATATCACTAGTAAAAAATCGATTTTCGCTGATGCTTGCGATTTTTTATTGGCAGTAGTAAAAAAGAAATTATGGGCCCATGTTATGACCACTAGTGTAATTCATTTTTGCTGGCTGTTTTCTTAAGTCTACTGCCAGTAGAAATCATGCCGGTAGCCATAAGAGAATGGCCAGTAAAAATGTATTTGTACGAGCGGTTTTCTTAACCTAGCGCCACTACAAATAAATTAATTTTTTTAATTTTTAAATAATATCAGATGGAGAAATGGTCTGAATGAAAGTTTGTATTATTCAAAAAATATCTATTGTAGTATTAAAAAATATCAACAACTTTGTAGTCGACTATTTTTTCATTTGAAATCATTTAGGGCTCCGATTTTATGTCACTATAACACAACATACTTTTACCGACACTTTCTATTGTAGGCAAAGGGCACCTTTGCCGACAGATAACCTCCCGCGAAAAGCTTTGCCGACAGTTTAGAAACAGTCGCGCTAGAAGCCGTGGGCAAAACTTTTGCCGACAGTTAATAGAATCCCCGACACTTTATGTGTAGGCAAATGGTCTACCTACGCCGACAGTTGAAACCTTTGCCGACAGTTAACCCTTTGCCGACAGTTAAGACCTACGCCGACAGTTAAGACCTTTCCCGACAGTTTATATGTTGGCGAAACCATTTTCAAACATTTTATGAAACATGCCCTCATCAGCAAGTAAACCATTGGCAAAACTATATAGCAAATATAGATATCAATTCAATTTGAATGATTTGACAAATCCACTTTTGTTCATAGAGAAGGCATCACATTGAGAAAATTCACTTGATTTTATAGAAATAATATATTAAATATTCCATACATACATCAAATGGATATTACAAGTCAAAATGATGATCATAGTACGCAGAGCCATACATATACAAGTCCAGGATATAGACGAGCCACTAGAAGACATATATAGACATATACTACAAGTCTTGTGCTAACTGATTATGGATAAAGTTAAGAGATGATCCTGCTGACGAAATGACCTCCTTTGTGAAAATGCGCGTGAAAGATGACCCTGCATACCATTCACATGGCTCCTTGCAAACTGTTTTGCGGCCTTCCATCCATCTTGCGCCTTCAGCTGCTGCCGAGCCAGCTAAATGGCATTCTCCCTTGATCTTGCTTTCCTCCGTTTCATGGATCTTTGAGATATAACACAAACAAAACCTTGCTATGAAGTCACCAATGCCTTTTGCCGCTTCAACATCAAGAATATTCACAAGGTTTGGCAACCTAAGGTCAACATCGAAATATCAAGTAATCGCAGAAAAATAAGCTAAGGGCGCCTACCACATTAAAACAAAGATAGACACATGGATCAAGTATTACTTTGTGACAACTTTTTAAAGAGGAAAGTTATCACATTTGATTCATATTCTATCATGACAACCACAATCTAAAAGTTTGGGATTTGTTGTGTTAAACAAGCTAGAACCTTGTGAGAAAGTTCAGTTTTTTCAGCAAGCAAAGTATCTATGAATTGGAGGGTGTGAATCATAACATAAGTTCATAACAAGCTCTAAATATGTATTGATCCTTATAACGTATGTAAAGTCTGGTAATGGTGTGAAATCCGATCTGAACCCACCCCAACCATTAGTGATGATCTCAACCTTAAAAACCAACCCACCCAACAAACAAACTCATCAACATTCTTTAGACTACGCCTGCAGTTCTTGCCGTCCATGGTGCACTTTAAAAGTAGTAGGATCAATCGCTTATTTCAGTAGCAGTTTTTACTCAGTAACTTTGCATCTCAAACGATCATTGAGCAATTGAAGAATAGAAGATAAAGGAATTGACTTCGAAAGCAATTGAAAAAAAAAGTGAAAGTAGTACAAATATCCTAAACCTGACACAAACTACCCACTCTCCCAAAATCACAGCATTGTTGTAAGCCTGTTAAAATACAAAGCTACTGCAGCATAGATAGCTGAAATTTAAGTAAGGCAATTTTAGAGTTGTGCTGCAGCGTATCAAGGAAGGACATACTTATGATTAAATCTGAAATTTCCTAAGGGCGTACTATTGTGACTTAAGGACAGCAGTGCTGCGGCCATGCAAGGGACAATTTCAGATTAAAGCAGATCTGAGCAACTAATTTCGACAGAAGTTATAAAGGCGATGATATATATATATATATATATATATATATATATATATATATATATATATATATATATATATATATATATATATATATATATATATATATATATATATATCAACTGAAAACACTAGCATAGATCCAAAGAAAGCTGCAATACATAGGCTGCACAAACCACTAATCAAAACAAGAATGCCATGTACAAGAGTTTACTAAACTAGTCAAAATGACATCATTTCACCAAAGAAACAGAGAAATCTGGCCGAGTGCGAATCGAGTGCTTCAATCTCGATGATGAGCTATTTAATCAAGAAAAAATATGCAGCTGATCTTGATAAGACAATGGTCTATACTAGATTATGTAACGCCGGTATTTTGTACCGCCTCTTAGGATTTTCAAAGTCATACACGGAACGGCGAATGGCGTTGGCCACCGATTTGACCGCAATGTCTTGGCCAATAACCCTCTTGTGGAGTACATCTTCTGCAGCAGCGACTTTTCCCTTCGGATCGTTGAAGGTTTGACATCGAATACCAGTCCACTTGCTCACAATCTCAAAGAATGTCCACGTCGGTCCACCTCTTCTCGAAGCATTGACTTCCCGATTGCTGGAATTCAACAAGTTTATTCCCAGCCTCTTCCAAATTGTTTCACGAAGTGACAAAAGTGTTCCATACTTCGATTCAAAGAAGACGATTCAAA